TTTTTTTAAACTACACCTTGGCCGTTTTTAAATTACTATAAATTAAATCCGCCACTGGAGTGATTTGACAGTTGTTCGAATTTTTTCGTTCATAAATATACACGTATACAATACATATACAAATATGGTACTAGACTGTCTCGTTCTGATTTCGGAATTTTTACACATTGAGAAGATAGCTTACTGCCAATATAGAAGTATTACATATATGGTTTTTTGTGAAAACTTATAAAAAAAGTTATAAATTAAAGAAAAAAATTAGGTGTGCAGTGGCTAATTGTGCTAGTGTTAGTGCCAAAGGATCTGGGTGCGGTTTTTTACTTTTCCGGCCGACATTGAGTTGGTGGAAAAGTGGATCCAGTTCTGCCGGAGACCAACGGATTTCAACGCCCGAACCAGCGTCATCTGTGTAAAACACTTCACCACTGATGACTTCGAGAACGAGCTTCAATATAAAATGGGTAAGTTATACTATTTAATTCGCCAATAAACGCTTATTGTATTTCGTGAGGATGGTGTGACTCAGGAGTAAATTTCACGAAAGGTAGCCGCCCTCATCGTAAATGTGAAACGCCCGGAAGCTTATATTTTTCACTTTTCATTAATACTGCATTTTATTAAAAGAAATGTTTTAAATTGTGTTAGGCTACGCTAAAAAGCGTAACCTAAACGGGGCGTTGTGCCGAAAATTTTCAAGCCTGCTGCGGAAATACCAGATCCTGACAAGGAAGCCCAGCAGCAAGTGTACAAAACCATTGTAAGCGATCTACTGGAGCAGTCCACTTCCAAATGCATTACAAGTTTATATAGTTGAAGTTCTCCTAGTTATAAAAAAGTACATTTCAGAAGCCGAAGGTCTTACTGCGCGGACGAGGAGAACTGTGGCATATTGCCAGATGCGTTGACGCCTCTGTGTTCCCCACATCGTGCCACAACACCTAGCAAGGTGTTTTACTATGACAGCACGCCTAAGGAGGTTGAGGATCTGCAAGAAAAATTGTAAGTTCAAAGTTTAATTAAATCTACATACATACATTTATATATATCTATACAAACCATATTAAAATTTTGTTGTTTATATATATTTATGTAGACGAGTTTCATTACGCGAAATCGCTTTTCTCAAATAGGGCATTCGCACGAGGCGATTTTACAGGCAACAAAAGTTTAATACGTAGTTGAATGAGAAGTTGAAAGTGAAAAAGTTGCCATCCCTATTCAGACGAGGCGATTTTGGATTCAACACGAATCGTTATTTACATTATTGAAAATGAATTTAAATCGCAAAATTTTATCAATTGGCGTAAATTTGGTAAGCCAAGCGTTGGTAGAAGTGCTTTTAGCGAAGCTGAAAGATAAAATAAAGGCCCGTCCACATAAAACTTTGGCGTTGCGTTGGCGTTGGCGTCGCTTCAACAGCTGACTATGAATACATGAATTCAAGTGCAGCCGTCCACATAGCCAAAATTCGGCAACGCTCACGCCAACACAAAGCAAAAAGATGGCCAACTCTCATCTTTTCGCGTGCGTTGCTCGTCAGCTGTTGCAAATAAATAAAATTGTGTGAAATATTTTCCCTTTTTAATCAAGTGCAGGCAAGAAATATCGTTTTTAATGCAATTATTGATATTAAATATTAATTTATCTGTCGTTAGTATGTTAATTTAGTCACCCAAGCATTCGCTGCCAAGCGTTCATTGTAGCAATCATTCTTTTAACGTGCGTTCTGTCAAACCAACGCCAACGCCAAAGCCAACGCGAAAGTCCTATGTGGACCGGCCTTTAGAGTAAAAAAGTAAAAAAGAAAAAATGTATGTATACAGAACAGTGTTGGCATTTTTGGTACAATTGTACTTGTTTGATACAATTTCATTTACAATATACTTTCCTACTACGCAGTACTTTTTAGTAAAATTTTGTAATGAATACTAAAAATATATAGCTCTGAAAATTCACAGTTTGCCTGTTCGTATTTACCTTTGTAAGTTTCGAAAAATGGCTTGAACGAACCAGTATAACATAGCCTAGCCAAATTTTTAAAGAAACTTTTCGATACTAAGTTTTATTAAAACAAAATGTCAAAGTCAGCTTCATATAGAAACAAAGTCTTCGTTAGTTATAAGAAGAGATTTTCTTAAATATAATACCTTTACGGCACTCACATATTGACAAGGTTTTACTATTTATTTTATTATTCTTTAATTTTAATTATCTGGTTAGAAACTATAATGTATTCTTTAAGAAAAACTGTATAAACCCAAGATTAAATCTTTGCGAAACATCCAAAAACCAACATACTGTCGTAAAAATTTCGAGCTTTATTAATATTCTTTAGTTTTTAGCCCATTCAATTTTAGTATAATAAAGTTCAAGTTTAAAGTAGCTGGGACTTACCGTTGAACTTGGCAATTTTGTTTTGTCGACGATGTCAGCCATTTTCTTCCATACGAAGTGTGTTCGACGATTTTTTTATATGGAGAAAACTAGCAACACGTTCATCAAAGAAATCTTAAAAAACTTAGTTATATTAAAATTTAATGGGCTAAAAAACCACACACTCAAAATAAATCTAGGAAATCGAATTAAGTAGATCGAAATTTTTACGAAAGTGTGTTGGTTTTTTTAATGTTGCACA